AAGGAGGGAGGGCTCTCTCTAACCCTACCTACAAGGGGCGGTGCTCCTAACCTAAGTGCCGGCTCTCACATTATCATGATTTTATAGGCAAAGAATGCCCTGGCCCATGCTGTTCAGTCAGCCCGCCATGACTGTGATCTGCTCAGAGAGCAGTTTGAGGAGGAGCAGGAGGCCAAGGCTGAGCTGCAGAGAGGAATGTCCAAGGCCAACAGTGAGGTGGCTCAGTGGAGAAGCAAATATGAGACTGATGCCATCCAGCGCACTGAGGAGCTGGAGGAGGCCAAGTAAGTCACTACCAATTCAGTGTTTACAGTAATTTTCATTTTATTTCTTTGCTTTTAACCAATTAAAAATTCTTGTTCACCACAGGAAAAAGCTTGCCCAGCGCCTGCAGGAGGCTGAGGAATCCATTGAGGCTGTGAACTCCAAGTGTGCCTCTTTGGAGAAGACCAAGCAGAGACTGCAGGGTGAGGTGGAGGACCTCATGATTGATGTGGAGAGAGCTAACGCTCTGGCTGCCAACCTTGACAAGAAGCAGAGGAACTTTGACAAGGTAAACTGATAATGAAAAACAAAACATAGCCATCCAAAATGTCAGGTAAACTGTAAACATAATTACATTTTTGTGCAATCAAAATACATCCAGGTCCTTTCAGAATGGAAGCAGAAGTATGAGGAGGGCCAGGCAGAGCTGGAGGGAGCCCAGAAGGAGGCTCGTACTCTCAGCACTGAGCTGTTCAAGATGAAGAACTCCTATGAGGAGGCTCTGGATCAGCTGGAGACCATGAAGAGAGAGAACAAGAACCTGCAGCGTATGTTCATTGCTATTAGTGTTCAAAGCAAATAATCAACCATTATCGGGGGTGAATAGTTTAAGATTAATTATCTTTGTTGTATTAACTCTGTAGAGGAGATCTCAGATCTGACTGAGCAGATTGGTGAGACTGGAAAGAGCATCCATGAGCTGGAAAAAGCCAAGAAGGCTGTGGAAAGTGAGAAGGCTGAAATTCAGACAGCTTTAGAGGAAGCTGAGGTAAAATCTTTGATACTTTGTCTGCTATTGTGACAATTAATTAATATTGCTACCCCATTCAAATGTGTTTTGCTGTCATCACATGAACTGTCACTTTGGTATTTAATTGACTTTTCTTGCAGGGTACACTTGAACATGAGGAATCCAAGATTCTCCGTGTTCAGCTTGAGCTGAACCAGGTCAAAGGTGAGGTTGACAGGAAGCTGGCAGAGAAGGACGAGGAGATGGAGCAGATCAAGAGGAACAGCCAGAGGGTGACTGACTCCATGCAGAGCAATCTTGATTCTGAGGTCAGGAGCAGGAATGATGCCCTGAGAATCAAGAAGAAGATGGAGGGAGACCTGAATGAGATGGAGATTCAGCTGAGCCATGCCAACAGGCAGGCTGCTGAGGCCCAGAAACAACTGAGGAACGTTCAGGGACAGCTCAAGGTGACTTTCGTATGATTGCTGAATTTACAACAAAAAATGTTTCAGAGTAAAGAAATTAGGATCAACTCTTTTTTCATTACCAGGATGCCCAACTGCACCTTGATGATGCCGTCAGAGGACAGGAAGACATGAAGGAACAGGTTGCCATGGTGGAGCGCAGAAATGGTCTGATGGTGGCTGAGATTGAGGAGCTGAGAGCTGCTCTGGAACAGACTGAGAGAGGACGCAAAGTGGCTGAGCAGGAGCTGGTTGATGCTAGTGAGCGTGTCGGCCTGCTTCACTCTCAGGTTTTATTCATTTACAAAAAAAATCTTTCTCAAAAATGATAATAAAGTTATATTATTTTCAACTTATATTTATAATAACTAATTTTCTCAAATATTCAGAACACCAGCCTTCTGAACACCAAGAAGAAGCTGGAGTCTGACTTCGTCCAGGTCCAGGGTGAGGTGGATGATGCAGTTCAGGAAGCAAGAAATGCTGAGGAGAAAGCCAAAAAGGCTATCACTGATGTGAGTTTACAACTTGACCTCTTTTATTTTAAAAACAATTGCTTATTTTTTATCCAATTTAATTCTCAAACATATTTAACCATTTCAGGCTGCCATGATGGCTGAGGAGCTGAAGAAGGAGCAGGACACCAGCGCTCACCTGGAGAGGATGAAGAAGAACCTGGAGGTCACAGTCAAGGACCTGCAGCACCGTCTGGATGAGGCTGAGAACCTGGCCATGAAGGGTGGCAAGAAGCAGCTCCAGAAACTGGAGTCCAGGGTATGAAGTCTGCACATAAACACTCACAAAAGATCATTTTTTAATTATATCCTACTTTCACTATATGGAATTAATTTAGTTTTCATTGTACTAAAATATTTACCTATTATACTATTCATACTGTTCATCCTCACTTTACAGGTGCGCGAGCTTGAAGCTGAAGTTGAAGCTGAGCAGAGACGTGGAGCTGATGCTGTCAAAGGAGTGCGCAAATATGAGAGGAGAGTGAAGGAGCTGACCTACCAGGTATCACTTACTGAAAAAAATGCCTTGGCTTCATTTTAATTCTTTGCACTTCATCACTTAACGTATATTCCGTAATCTCAATAGACTGAGGAGGACAAGAAGAACGGAACCAGACTTCAGGATCTGGTGGACAAGCTTCAGCTCAAAGTGAAAGCTTACAAGAGACAAGCTGAGGAGGCTGTAAGTCATCTCCATTTATATGGCAGATCAGTTACAGTTGGATTACCAATGTAACCATTATGTGTTCTGTAACTAAGTCAGTATAACTGTAATCTCTTCACAGGAGGAGCAGGCCAACACCCACATGTCCAGGCTCAGGAAGGTTCAACATGAGCTGGAGGAAGCTCAGGAGCGCGCTGACATCGCTGAGTCCCAGGTCAACAAGCTGAGAGCCAAGAGCCGTGATGCTGGAAAGGTAATGTTTTATTTTCTTTGGCAGTGTCATACATTACTTACATGCATATGCTTCCTGTATTTATCCATGAGTTGTACGTTCTAATGTGAAATGTGCAATGACTATATACACAATGATCTCAGAAAAGAATGCCCAGTTGCAGTGCACTATTCCCCAAGCTGATAAACTTTAACTCAAGCATTATCATTGCATCACACATTGCTTTCCTTTTCTCATCAGTACATACTGCATTTTATTGTATTCCTACGACAATACATTTCTACAAACACTGACTCAATGATCTTGTACTCTTTCTTACTTTCAGGGAAGTGACTCTGCTGAATAAGACACAAGATCCAGCCGAGGCAATGAAGAGTTCATACAATATGAGCCCTTGAATATTTTCTTCTGTAAATCTTCAATAAATGCTATAAATTTCTAAAGTGTTATGTTTTCTTTTAACTTGTAGTCCTGTTCAACCTTGTACAACCAAGTCAGCTTTGATAACAATACATGAAACTGTGATAGAATCATTAATATGAAAAATACACATGCTGCTGTAGTTTTCGTTTTGATCAGAACTGTTGCATTACGAGCTATATTCTGTGTGTGGTTCAGCTTATCAAAATCAAAAAATAAGATCAGCTTTCAGGTTTTAATTTTCTTGTGCTTTTTGTTATAGTCTCCCACAGTTTGCCAGACCTGCAGGTTTAATTCCAGAGAACCTACAATGGCTGTTTTTGGATAAGCAGATAAAACAGTTTCTTTTATTTTTTGCAATGTATTTACATTTGAAAAGGAGTTCTTGCCCACATCATCGAGCTCAGAATATAACAGACAATGATATGAAACACTTAACTCGCAAAGAAAAAATTCCTCAACGAAACAAACCCAACAAAAACAGAATAATCTGTTGTTCTACTCTAGCATGAGCTTCTAATTACTGAGCATGTGAAAACTACAAATGTAATTGTATTTTATTATATTTTTAAAATGCTCAGTCCTCTATTTTCCTAGCTAGTTACCAACATCTCACATTTCTTTTCAATTATTTTCCTTTATAGATCATTTACAATGTGGCATACCTGACTAGTGTTTGTTGCCACTGTTTTTCTTATCTTTCTTCCCAACTCCCTTTCCCTTTCCATGTTCTGCCTTTCCCTTCCCCTTCCCAGGATCCCCCCTCCATTTTTGTTCACCTTCAGCCATTCCCATCTGCAGCTGGGTTGTGTGAATCCTCTCAATCAGGGAGAAGCAGTCATCGTCTGGACTGATAGGGACATGTGGGCATGAGGTTACAGGATGTGCTTGACTGGTTGCACCTCTGCTGGGAGATGATTGCCTCGAGTGGGTTTTCCTGGGACTTGCGTGGCTTGGAGAGCAGTGCCTGGACGCACCATCTTCTTTTGGGACAAGGTTTAAGTCAAAGGACAGGCGTCTGCCAGGTACTGGGCTCAGAGGGATCACAAGGTTCTCTCCTGGGGATCCAAGAGTTAGGAAGACTTCTGGGAATGTAACTGGCTGATTGGCATGCTTCGGTACCTTTGACAGATAAAAGAGTCAAAAAAAAAAAGTGTAGAAGTAATGTCTTTTATTATGGCAATACCTTTGGACAATTAGCTCAAAATGTTGTGGTACTGCTTACCATCTGTGGTGTGAAGCTCATGGACAGCCTCACTGTCACCTGTAAAAAAAAACAAAAAAAAACAATACATCTCATACAGTGTTTCAGTCACTCCTGTTCATCCTTTCACGAAGTGGTGGACAACTGGCTACACACCAGGACACAGACTAGGCTTTAAACTCACTTAAAGCGATCGTTGGCAATATTTTTTTGCATCACTGGGCAAAAGTCTCACACTCCCCTTTCAGCATATTGTAATTTAAGTGGTCTGAGAGGAAACTAGACCACTTCCACATTTAGCCCATAATGGGAGATGTTAACCAATCATAAGGTTGTTTTTTTTTTCCAAAAAGCATAAAAAGTGGTGGTGCGAAGAGAACCTGAGAGTTGTTGAGAGAACATGGCATTTGGGGTGCAAGAGGGGAGAAGGAAGAGTTCATTTGCAAAAACAGATAACTCCATTTTTGTAGATTTTCAGAAAATGTATGTTTTGGTTGTTTGCTTAAGATAATATCAATCTAACTGAAGTTGAGTGGATTTGACTCAGTAGAAATGACTCGACGAAAATAGAGATAACTTAAGTTTGATTGATATTGTCTCAGTTAGACGATGGAAAAGTGGGTTTTCTGAAGGTTTGTGAAGATGAAGCTAAGGCAAGGTGGTAGCCTTACAGATGAAACTCACACATGAGCTTCCATTCCCCTGTAACCAAAACCCTTAACTGAAGAAGCAATGACTCAAATTCATAAAGGCTGAACTTGTGTAAGTTAACCATGTTTTTTAATGTCAGTCATTACAGTTCAACCAGATTGGTAAATGCTTACAGTTTGCTGACACCCCTTTATATGACCCCTAAATATATATTCTTCACAGTTAGCCTCTAACAAAATCAAAACACAGTTACATTTGAGTTAAACAATGTACCTGTGCTGAAGAATTTTGCTTTTCATATTCTGTCTCTGGGGTAAATGAAGCAGATTTCGGTAGGGTCCTGGTGGAGTCAGATTCGGCTGTTGACGTCGGGCTGGAACAGTTTTTCCTTGATGGCGTTGGTGTACATTCAGCCACTGTAATGCGTGGTGGAGAAGCCTTGCAGAAGAAAAACCCAAACAAAGTTGTTGAGCTGTTCGCCATAAGAACTGTGGATTACTAAAAACATAATCAACTGCTGTCATAAGCAAATATTTTAATGTCAATACGTATTTTTTCTTTAAATAAAATACCGATGGTACAAAATATTCTTTGTATCTAGAACTGAGTCATATCTCCATTTTGAGCCATAAAAGTACCAAATCTAATCAACATACTGTAGGAGGAACCATCCAAGTATGATGTTTCTGCCATATTTTTTCGTGACTTACATAAAAATGACAAGGAACAACCTTTTAGCAACGTTTGTCAGTATTCTTGACACCACCGATGGGTTTTGATGTTGAGTAACTTACTGGGGTTTCAGTCTTTTTATTTGGACTATTTCTTTTTCCTTCAGAATTTCCACCTATCCCTGGCAAACCAGGAAGTGCGACACGCTGATCATCAAGCCGTCGTCCCTGACTGGAGGCGATGGCTTTAAAGAGGGCATCAGCTTCTGTACCTGTTACAGAGATTTACAAGTTATTCCTGACAGCTCAGAGAAAGAAAACACTTGCATGACCTTATATGCCCTTTGTGCTTTTCTGACCTGTGGCTACATTATTTAAAGCACTTCCATTGTGCGTGGGCGTGGCGGGTGTACTTCTGCTGGGTTGCAAAGAGCAGCGTTGCTCATCCATACGTCCCCTTTGTGCATGACTCATCATTTTCAGGAATTGCTCCTGCTCAGCTGCAGTCGGCTCCTAAAATGATTTAAAGATATCAAATCAATGAGAAGTGGCACCACTCACAAACAACTTATCGACAACAGGCTGCCACTAAACAACAGCCACATGTTTCCTTTAAAAAACTGTGGAGGATGAGTCCCCCCCCTATCCTTCACTGGTATGATTTTTATGACACACAGAAAAAAAAGTGAATTTCAGGACAGGAAACATATTGATAAAACTATAAACTGAGCAATGTACAGCATGACATCTGACCTGAGGTTGTTGATTGGTTTTGTCACGGTCAAAGGAAGCAGACCTCTGGGGAGGTTTACCAGATGCGTCTGAAATGTGGTCTTTGTGCTGAGTTGATGGTGTTCCCGTATTGTGGAAGATTTGGGGTGCAGAGCATCTCTGCTCATCCATCCTTGAGCCCTTGAAGAGAAAAAAAGGATTAACTTTTGTAATGTTTGATCAAAGCAGTTTGATATATTCTTAAATAAAATAATATAAATACTATAAAACAAAATAAGAAAAACTGTCTATAAGTTTTGACAATGACAAAATGGATAGACCATGTGATGTATGAGGCCAACCTGGACTTTGGAAACCATATAACACAAGTAGCTTGCATCCTTGTCAGCAGCAGTTGATGTGGTACCTCCGTTCTGTATCCCTGGTAATGAAGGAAGAGACACTCGTTGGTCGTCGAGCCGTCGGCTCTGAGAGTTTGCCAGCAAGCTGAAGAATTTGTCTGAATCTGGGCCTGGGATGATGGGAAAATGAAATCTTAGCTTTATGATCAAATGTGTGCACAATTATTACCACTGAAAAAACATTGCAAATGCAAAAAAAAAAAAAAACAGGAATGCAAACATGCTTTTATTCCAACCTGGGGGCGCTGAGCTCTGACTGGGCTGGTGTTTAGGTGTGCACTGGGGACTAGCATTTAGGACACACCGCTGTTCATCCATTCGGCCTCGTTGAGATTTACTCATTATGGTAAGAAATTCGTTTTGGTCAGCTGAAGTCAAGACCTAGATTAGAAAAAATTGAACAGTATATATTTAGGTTAATGAAGGAATACTTCGAAACAAAATCTACATCCATCCATTATCTATACACCGTTTAATCCTCACAAGGGTCACGGGGGGCTGGAGCCTATCCCAGCCAACTCAGGGCGAAGGACAGGTCACCAGTCTACATTTTGAGACAAAGAACCAAGCACACTCACATTCACACCTATGGACAACTTAGAATCCCCAATTAACCTCAACATGTTTTTGGACTGTGTGGGAGGAAGCCGGAGAACCCACACTGCAGAACATGGAGATTCCACACACAAAGATCCCGGGTCCTCACCGGGACACGAACCGGCGACCTTCTTGCAGCAAGGCAACGGTGCTAACCACCGAGTCACCTTGCAGCCCACAATATCTACATGTACATATAAATGGGTACATCTAAAACTTTACTGTTTGAATTTGGGATGTTATTTAATACAATTTACCTCCTGGGATTAAAAATGCCATCAGTGACCTGAACACCTACTTGTTTCGGAGGTGTGTTCTCTTTAGTCTTTGGTCGTTCTACGTCTGAGGAGGCTGAACGTGAAGAAGCAGGATTTTCCTGTTTGGGTGAACGCTGTGTCTCAGGAGTTCGGATTTGAGGTAGCGAACACCTCTGGTCATCCATTCTGGAACCCTGAAAATACATTAGACCAGCATGTTTAATCAATAGGCACACTTCTTGAACACATAAGGTTTCACAAAAGTGTAATTTTAAGATTCTTAGCCCTAGAAAGATACACTGTCGGATAGATTGAATTTTAACATAACATGTCCAAGTCCTCAAAATCTGTGAAATCTGAGTCATTGACATGAAAATAACCTCAAAGCATTGAATAAAATAGTGAAACTACTTGCTGAAACTGTATTGCTGTTTGACTTTTTCTGGAATCCTACGAATTACATATTTTCTGGAATGTTTTCCTCCCATTCTAAAAATTTTTTAGAGTAAAATTTAAAGCCTGAGTCAAAGTCACTACAATATTTTGGTATCTTAACACCAATCAAAGAAGTATTTTCCTCTTATGAAAAAGAAAGTACTAACCTGGACTTTAGAAACCATGTAACATAAGTAGCTTGAATCTCCAGCAGAAGTGCTATTGCCATTCTGTAATCCTGGTAAGGATGGAAGAGACACTCGCTGGTCGTCAAGCCGTCGGCTCTGAGTGTTCGCCAAGAGGTTGAACAACGCATCAGGATCTGGAACCAGAAAGACAAAGTAACACAGCTGAGTAATACAATACAACATAACCTTGTCTACACATGGACCTATCAGAAAGCAATGGTAAGTAAAAGGAAATTTGAAGATGAAAAGGAGGTTCAATTGCATTAAATTCATTCAGATTTATTGGCATGAAAGTTTCAACTTCACCAAAGCATCAAAATACAATTGGTCAGCATATTTCGACAGTACACTTTGTTACTAATTTGAACATTTATGCAACTTTAAGATTAATATATAATAATGAAATGCTGTATGTACAGAACAGTGTTTGTGTGTGTGTGTATTCATCATTGTTTACCTGTGTTTAATGTACTCGCGGCTGGCTGTTTGTCTGTATGTTTAGGTGAACAGGGGGCGCTCCTGCTAGGATCCAAGGAGCAGCGCTGGTCGTCCATGCGTCCACGCTGGCCATGGGAGATCATATTCATGAACTTCTGTTGTTCTTCTGCTGATTCTGCCTTTTTTGAGTGAATGAGGAAGAGCAGCATTTATTAACATAAGATCAATAAAGTCAGCAGAGGAATTCTGCAACAATCACAGCCACCCAAAGTGTACAGTTGGACAGAACAGACCTTTATGGAATTGGAGTCGTCACGCTGAGAAGGAACCTGTAATTGGTTGCCCGGTGTCAAAAAAAGCTTCCTGTCTCTATCTGGAGTACTCTCAATCACAGAGATCTGAGGTGCAGAGCCATGGTGGTTGTTACTCCCAGGTTCCTGAGACAACAAATCACATTTTGGAGCAGAATTCAGTCATTTGTTCGTCACACCATCTGTGCTCTCAGCCCTTTCCAACCTCTAGTCTCGTACCTGGTAGTTAAATCCAGGCAATGCTGCCCGTACATCAAGGTGTTGCCCCTGTTTGTTATCCGAGGTACGGGACAACTCACAGCTTGAGCCTGTTGAAGGAAAAGTGAAACAATCAATCAAACTACAAGCGGACATATACACTGTAGAGGGGATTTTACTGTCCCAACCTGTAGATGTAGTTTTTGTTTGTGCAGTATTAAGAGGTTTCAAAGTGCAACGCTGTTCATCCATTCTTCCACGCTGTGAGTAACTCAGTAGGTTCAGAATTTGCTCCTGTTCTGGGGATCCCTGTTGAACATTGCATAAAAGAATGAGCAAACAATAAGAACTAACACAACTTCCATTCTTTCTTAGAATCAGTTCTCTTAAACCATTCTCCATTGTTTTTATATGCAACATTAAAAGAAAATCTTGCTCAGGGCATTTCCTCATCAACAGATTGAGTTAATTCACCTACTATGAAGAAGCATAAACACAATAACATATTTACCTCACTTGAACACTGTAAAGAATGATGATACAATTTTGTGTAAAATATCTAAAAAATAAATACACATTGAATACTATACAGCTAGAACCAAATACCACAACTAAAAATCAGTGTCACGCTACAAACAACCTACCAGCTCGACGTCAGTAGCTTCTGATTTTGAGTCCACTCCAGGAGCTGCCATCGTTTAAAAATATACAAAAAAAGCTAAATGGTCCCTTGCTGAAAACTGCAAAAAAAAAATATATAAGTGTTACACAAAAGTACTTCCGACAATTGGAGTAGAATCCATTCAACACTTCTTCAGCGGACCTGTTTTACATATAATGGAAGTGATGATGCTGACTGATGCCACTCTAAATGTGTACTGGATATGACTAGGAAGAAGGGTTTTAAATAGAGTTTATGAGCATTAACCCATTGCCATTAAGACCCTAGCCGGTGCCCCGTTCTTAATATCACCATCTGTAATCCCAGATGAAAACATAATCCTCAGCATGGAGAGGGATGATCTTCTTCACTGGTAGGTGTACGTGTTCTCCCTTCTGACCCAACACTTTACTTAAAGTTCTTGTTTGCATTCTGATGACCCCGCATTGTCATTATGTGGTGACAGGTTTACATACACTTATCAACAGGACACACAAGATTTTATGGTCATGCTGTTCATTAAAGCCAGTCTAATTTCTAAAAGCGGAAGCGAAGTCCAGCTTGATAGTGATGAAAACAATGTGAGTAAACACCCTGTAAAGTAAAGTGTGATGAAATTATGTACTAATAATATGGAGAGTAATAAAATAAACCTTAACATATCAAAAAAGTACATTTTTTAATATATAGAACAAATAAAGTTGATTGGTTTCTGTATACAGATTGGAGGCAAAGTGAGTATTTTTGTCGATGTAGCAATATTAGGAGAATACACCAGAGATGGTTAGGCAAGCTGATCACAAATAACTCCATAATGATTAAATGATTTTGAGCATTTCCAGCATTTTTGACAACCCTGAGATACATTTGGAAGTACAAAAAAAAAAAAGCCAGGAAGTGGACAATGAGTTGCTGAAATGGTTTCATCACATGCTTGTAAAAACTCTTTCTAAAGGCAGCATGGAGGACAAGCGCAAGACACAATTTAAAAGTAAATGTTTAGTTTATTACTCATTTTTAATGACACATAAACGAACACCCACCACATTTGCTCCCAGCAATATAATAAAGTAAAAGGTAAATGTGCAAGATTTCATTACAGCAGTTGACATGTTTTATCTGAGCTGAAATTTCTCAGATGAGGAAAAAAGAAGTACCTAGAGAGAAACATTTTTATGCACTTAATGTCACTGACTAAGACAAACATTTCTACTGAGTTGCAATAAACTGTGCTATACCTGAATAAGATATCTGATGTAAGATGATCTAGTTTTGTGTGGATTATACAATTTCTCAGTAGATAATTTGGCAAATCAAATACATAGTAACAAAAATAAGAATTTGAATGAGAATAGTAAAATAATCACAGCATCAATAATATCTAATTAAATATTTTAAATATTTTTTCAATCACAGCAGTGTACAGAACCCAACTCACAAAACACAACAAAAAGAACATTCTAAAATAAAATAACGAATCACAAATGTTTCCTTCCATGGCTACACCTCTTCATGTTTCACTTTAGATGTAGAAGACGCTAAACAGAATACCAGAAACCAGCCATCTTAAGTGGAACTAAACCCTCATTCCAGTGCGTTTTTCCCTGCTCTGGGTCTATCTAAGAATCAGGATTAGGAACTTGGTCCAGACTCTTCAGGTCATTGAGGAAGCTGGTTGGGGTCAGGATGTGAGATGATCCTGACAAGGAGATATGATATGTACATTAAAAAAAAACAAACAATAGATGCATTTTGAAGCAAACAACCTCTTCAATAGCAGTTGCTTACCAATCAGCACTTCCCATTTCCCATCGGTGGCCCGAGTGACTTCATAAGCAGAGCGCATCTCTGAGTGGGACACCCCACCAATCACATAAATAATCAGCCGAGGACCACTACGATATTCTGGTGGAGATTTATTTTTGTGCCAGTGTCCAAACCGTGCACTGCTGTAAAAGAATTGAAAAAAAAGACTGAGCAAAAAGCAAGTATTACTTAAACTAAGGCCTGCTTGTGAGCAGTTTCAGCTCTTCAATGATGATACTTTATTAATAGTAAATAAATACCACAACTGTCATGCAATGCTTCTTTTTGATATAGGATTGTCAAGAAATTGATCCTAAAGAGAAAATCTGAATCTTAAAAAAAATCCTACAATTAATTAGTTCTGGTGGCATCATTGTACAGTGATTGGGGGGGAACAGAAAACCAAAACAGAAGAAAACAAACAACTTTCTTTTCCATCTGCTTTCAATCAGTTGTATATGTTTTGCTGTTATGCTAATCAGTTTCATAATGTTTAAAAACAGGTCAAATTAAACCCTCTTCCATGTCCTTCCATGTCCTGCCATGTCCGGTTTTATATAGCCCATATTCTAGTGTTACTATTAATGACTACTCATCTGTAATTCTGCACTTTGCTTAAAAGGAAGCAGACAGGCATCGTGCATTATGCAGATTATAAAAGAGCCCAGGTCTACAAAAGTGCTTTTTATAAACACCATCACAGTGACAGGAATTCCCGGGGGGATTACGGAGTATTCAAAGAAAAACTGACTTGATTTCACCTTTTCAACTCCAGTTCACTTTGTCAAAAGCTAGCAACCAACTCATTTACAGGGATAAAAGCTTGTATTTGACAACGCTAACTGGTAGCCACCCCACTTAGTGTTTTATTGTTTTAAACACCAAAACAAAAAGCATTATAGTGAACAAATGCCTAAAGTAGTATTTCCCTGGAACACCAAAGAAAAAAATAAAACTGATTTTATCTTTTAAAAGTGTCTATTCCTCATTTTTCTTCATATCCTACTACATACATATGGACTCTGATAAAGTCACAAATATTTGTTTTTAGTTTCCAGCACCCACCTGACTGAAGTCTGAGTTGTGCTGATGGGAGCAGGATCAGAGATGAATGGCCACTGATGTTTGTCCAGTTTGTCGTCTATGGCATTCTGTGTTTCAGAAACAAAGACGGTGTAAAAAAGAAAAAACATAACTGTAAGCAAAACTGAAGGGATGTACCAGCAACTTCTGAAACCTCGCTTAGACAATAATACCTCCATGACATCCTTGAGGATAGGTGTCCATCTAGAGAGGTCATATGTGCTCCCTGTGCGCTCCTTACGCTCTGGCAGTGTTTTCCCTGCATTGCTGCCCTATTAGACAACATGACACATGTAAGAAATACTGAGAAAATAAATGTACAGTTCCTGAACACAGACTGTAGGCAAATTGCATCAGAAACGTTACCCCAGCTATGATGTTACAGCCCAGGTTCTGCAAGTTGTAGATAATGTTGCTGTCGCCCTGAATGTTTGCATGCTGGATGAGCTTGGCAAGGTTCTCCTCCGTAATGCCTGCATGGATAATCACACTCTTAAAGCAAAAATTGTCAAGGCTATAATAACATTAAATATCCTGCTATTGATTAAGCCTTTGGTTAATCCACACCCATGAACACAGTGTGGTATCTGTCACCAGGACTTAGGCAATGCACCCTTTGGCTCAGGTGAACTGCCAGCTAGTGCCTCTGTACACTAGGGGTGCTTTGGTCCACCCCACTGACATGCAATCAGATTGAGATTCTACATCATACATCACATACTAATGGCATGATCAATGTCATTCACCTAACCTGTTATGACTGATCTGTGTATTTGTAATGAACTGTCCCACTCAAATGCTTTTACTTTTTTTTTTTTTTTTAAATGCTGGTTTTCAAAACATTAAAATGACAAATATAAAGAGCTATGACAGGGGCACACCTTTCTTCTTGTGGAATATGTACAGCAGTATTATGCGGATTTTGTCATAGGCCTCAAGTTCATTGTTGAGGAGCACAGGAACAATGCTCTTCATGGCATCTTTTAGAGGTTCCCCATCTGGAGTCGCTCCCATCACCAGGTCCTGTGGAAGACACCCCTGGTTAACTTCTAACTACAAGTGAAATCTCAGTCATTAACTCAAGTCAGCTGACAGGCGAGTCACGGGGCAACTGACAAGATTGTTTGCTTCTCTGCTTTATTCTATGTCGTTTCTTACTATATGTGGGCCTTTATGACCATGCAGAGAAGTACGAATACTGCAATTGCACAATCACTCTGACCCTTTCACTAAACTACTTAAAGGTTAATGCTGGCCTTACGTGCCGTCAAAACTGATCTTTATAATAATCTCAAAATATTTACAAATTTTTTCTCCAAACAGAAAACGGACATTTCAGTAAAACAAACTGTCCCAGATTGCACAGGAAACTTCCAGGGTTGCATTTGTAATCTATTAAATATGTCAAAAATAATGACAAATATTGGCCATTTAACTTGGGCTCTTAGACCTAAATCTAGCTTTGGGATTTCCTTTTAATGCAATCCAGGGAACTGTGAGATCTCCCGAAAAAAAAACACCACTCTTACTAAGCTTTATGATGAATGTGGTCTAAGCCTTGTTAAGGCCAATTAACAAAAACTTTGTGTGAACAACTCAAAGATCATTTTGTTTACTACATTACACACATACATTTGTACTGGGTTGTCCAAACAATGTAGAACACTTAAACAAATGACAGCTGAGAGAGAACTGTCCCTGTTTGGATCTCACCGTCCATCTTAGAGCCAAAACATGCCCACTGGATTAAAGAGGCAGCTTTCAGACATGCTGACAATCCATTAGTGCAGTCGAGTGATTTACTCGTACAAAAAGGCCCCATTAACACTTGCATCTCATAATGCTACAACCATGCCTTGCTTATCATTTCAAGAGCGCTTGTGACTCATCGGATACAGGACTAAATGTGGCAGAATACATCCCCTCCGGGAGACAAAGCATGTCTGGCCCATAAAAACAACACACTGGGATTTGGCACTGGTCTGGACTATGGCTTTATCCCAGCTTCTTGCTGGTGGAAGGATTTCAACATTACCAAGCGGTACGTGTGCGTTATTAAATGCCTTTACACTTACAGTAATGACATAACAGCTCCTTCTGCATTTCTGTAGATATATGGATGTTGATGTCCGGCCCCAAGCCTCT